ATGTTATCAGTAATCAAATTCATGTCTGAAGGTCATTTTCAAAGGAATTTAAGGTACATTTCCTCATTAGTGCTCAAGTTCAGGTTTTCACACACAGTTCTCACTAAATACAAGGTGAACAAACTGAGATAGAAGTGTTTCAGTATGTAGCATTTTTCACAGTGATTCCAAATTTAATACAAATACACGACATACACAATGATCACACAAGATAGGAAAGGAGAAGAAAAGCCTCAATGAGTTAAAAGTCTGATACTATTGTCAGAACAATAGAAATGCAGTACTGAGTAATTGAGGAACAACCTAAAATCAACTGCTGTTGTCCAAGTTGATTATAATATAGAAAAACAAAAGATTTTGAATACATTTTTCTTTAGGATTACATGTAAAAAAAACATTGTATTTTCAACATATATATGGATATTTATATTTTGCATGTATGTGCACAGGATAGGTTTCTTTCAAGAAGTGGTGAGATAATAGTCTTTCAGGGCTATCTTCTTTAAAACAGCATTTATACTACTGCATGCATTTGTATAGCAATTTTTAATATATATTGCCATAATTAGACCGTGTTGTCCAAGTAACTTTATTATTCATATTGAGTGTTTACAATTTCTAATGTTTCCAACGAATTAATTGAAGAGCTAGAAAAACAACAAAAAACGACAAAACAAAAGCAAATAGACAAAAAAACAAAGACACACAAAGAAGCACCTGAAAAAAGTCAACCAATTTCAGGAGAGACCATATTTATCAAGAGCAGCACAGTATTACAGCACATTATTACAAGGACAATATTCTAGAGATGGCAAATCTCCCAACTTCTTGTTCTCAGTACTATTTATTAAAGGTATACCACATAGGCTACAGGTTTCTCAGAGTTCATACCTTCTTTTTCCATTCACATAAACATATGAATTGACAAGTACCTTCATAATAGACTGAAGATCTGTTTTGCTTAACATCCAACAGCAAGTCCTAAAGAAATGAAAGATCTTTCCACAGTATTGGAAAAGTATGTTTAGTTTTCTTTTTAGCACCTCTTGCAAGCATTCAAAACATAGACAAGTGTTTTTGGCTAAGCAAAACATGACCTTTCTTATCTTAACGAGACCATTAGCAGCCACATTTATCTAACTGTAAAACGCATGTGGGAATCCTGCCAGCAGCTGAAGAGCTATCAGCTACCCCAATGTAGCACCTTTTCAGAACAGTTGAAAGTTCACAAGGAAGAGAAACCATCTAGATGCATATTACTGTAGTTTTGTTTGTTCTTTTTTGTTTGTTTGTTTTCTGTTTGAAGAGTAATGGATCTATAGTCATAAAATAGGAAACATTTGTGCAGAGGATTAGTCAGCACAGATTGCTCAAAGGCTATTTAAAAAAAATAAAAGGAAATGAGTAATCTCATTTTATCTATATGAAGATGCATCAGTTAAAGCATAATTGGAATAAATTATGTCAGATTTCACGAGCTATCAGTCAACAAAACAAAGAAAAAAGACATTTAAAACACGAATGTGCCTGGCCTTATACCCAGTACGTTGCAGCAATCCTATATTTTCAGACACAGTCTTCCTTATTTAAAGAAATGCACCCACGCATAGCAGCATGATGTAACAACTTCCATTGAAATGCTGTTCCTGCATAAACATGTCTGTGTTTAGATGGTCATTCTGAGGAGATAGTTTGGAAATATCAGAAACAGCACAGTCAAATTAATAGGACATCAATATGCAAGAAATAATAGTAATCAAATAAAAACTAGGGGCCAGGTAGGGAAATTTTTGCCTTTTCTTCCCCCTCTAGAACTGGGCAAAAGTGCCTAAGTAATCCAAAAGATGAAACTCCTATGCTGACGCTTTCCTGAAGTAGTTTATCTGTAAATGTGATGTTTCCTCATAGATAATCAGTAGATGAAGCAGTCACTTTCAGAATTAGGTATCAAAGACTCTCTCATATCTTGAGCATTTTGCAGAGTCTGATTTAGATTGATTTATTTAACAATTTGTTAATCCAATCATAGAATGGCCTGGGTTGAAAAGGACCACAATGATCATCTAGTTCCAACCCCCATGCTATGTGCAGATTGCAAACCACCAGACCAGGCTGCCCAGAGCCACATCCAGCCTGGCCTTGAATGCCTTCAGGGATGGGCATCCACAACCTCCTTGGGCAACCTGTTCCAGTGTTCACCACCCTCTGTGTAAAAACTTTCTCCTGTTATCTTACCTAAACCTCCCCTGTCTCAGTTTAAAGCCATTTCCCCTTGTCCTGTCACTATCCATCCTCGTAAACAGCTGTTCCCCTTTCTAGTTATACACTCCCTTCAAGTACTGGAAGGCCACAACGAGGTCTCCTTCTCTTCTGCAAGCTAAACAATCCCAGTTTCCTCAGTCTTTCTTTATAGGAGCCCTCTGTTCATCATAGTGGCCCTCCTCCAGACCCCTCCCCAAGACCTCCACGTCCTTCTTGTACTGGGGGCCCCAGGCCTGGATGTAGTACTCCACATGGGGCCTCACAAGAGCCAAATGGAGGGGGACAATCACCTCCCTCTCCCTGCTGGCCACCCCTTTTTAATGCAGCCCAGAACACAGTTGGCTGTCCGGGCTGCAAGTGCACAGTGCTGGCTCAAGTCCAGTTTCTCATCCACGTTCATCTATTTAGACATAGAGGAGCTGATAGACTTAAGGACAACAGAAGAACGTTTTTTTAAACTGTTAAACTGTTTTAGAGATTTAAAATCAAAATTCATTGGGAAATGGAGCTACAGTATTCAGTATTTTCAATCTTTTCAAAATCAGCATTATCTACTTTCTATTGCATAGATCACTCTGAAAGTAATATTTCTTAGTTAATTCTGTGGAAATTAGAACAGAGGTAAAGAACACAACAACTCTATTTGATAGAAAGAATTCTCAGCTACAAAACGCTATTTTTCAATGCATTTTCACCAGTGATAAACAAGAGCCTACATGCCACACTTTAAAAAAAAATCTGCACCAGCAGAGGTGACCCACTGTTTCACTGCTGCTGTGACAGCATTATTGCTATAGGAAAATGTTGCCTACACATCCATCTTTCATTGGTCCAAACAGGCAGAAGTCAGAAGGCTCCACATCCAGACTATACGGTGACTATATTCAGCCAAAATCAACAACATGCTCCATGGTCTCTGAACTAGCATAGGGCCTGGCATCGTATTGCAAGAGAAAGGTTGCCTTATTCTCTGGCCTCAATCTGGAAGTTCAAACCTTCAGCTACATCATGATGTAGCTGCAATGTAGAGTTGATAGTTTGTTCAGACTGCAGGAAATCTGAAACACTTTCCTTATCCAAACAGCAGTGAATATCGCTTTACCTGCTGAGTGACACATCTTGAACACAGCAATAAAATGTAATTGGCAAGAAGGTTCAATCTCTACTGCCATGTCACCAACACCCAGCAGCCCTTTTATTATTAGTCAGGTGCATCTGAACAGATCACCTTCATATCTGCCACTGAAGCTCCTCCTGCAGGTCACCATAAGGAGTTAAACATGAATGTTGAACTGTCTTCTCAATTATAGACAAATAATTAGTGATCTGTAGAACCCAAAACACACAGTTAATTCTTCTCCTTACTAAAAGAGGATTACTTCAATGAAACCAAATTATTTCAGACTTGTTTTCTTCCACTCTTTTTATACTGCTTTTTAATGACTATGCTATAAGGAACATCTCTCAAGCATTAAAATAAAAGATTCTAATGAACTATTAGCTGTACTAGAGCATCACAAAAGACAATCCAGTACTACCCAGAGGGGCCCCTAAGGCATGTTCTGTACCTTTTTTTTAAAAAAAAAAAAAAAAGAAAAGTTGGCTCTTCCTTCTTCAGGAAGATTTCAGTAATGATTATACAGTGCAGAGCTGTCATTTCCCATTGATTCTCCCTACTTCAGATCATAGTTAACCCTTCCATCAGAAGGCATTTTTCCACTATGCACTGTATTAATACAAAAAATACATCAGATATTATGAACAGCAAAAAAGCAACAATTTCCAAATGCAAACTGCAAAACATCTGCCAGTAAAGTGCATCTTCAGAGTTACTGCTGCTTTCCTTTTTTTTTTTTTGCAATACAATTTTTTTGACAAATATTGATAATACATACAGCATCTCTCTAGAAAAAAAATATCATTCATAGGATCCACTGTCATGCTGCTTTGGACAGAACAGTTACATGGAATGGGGGCTGTCCAGTCCTTTTAGTATTTCTAAATTTAGTAACTGCATTATCTCTGAAGTTCCACTATAGGAAGATTCTAGAATACATGTAAAAGTCAGGAATTAGGCAGAGTGCTAAACTCTTATCCTTTCCATAAGTTCACAAATAGGAGGAAACTGATACCTTTCCCCCTTATATGTAGCCAGTACCTCAAAGCAACCCCAACCACTGGCTTCTCATGCAAAGCATATAAAGCTGCTTTCTCAACACTCAGACTTGTGCACACTATATACACGCAAAAGCCAACAGAAGACTGAGAAATTCTGTCAGAGGAACTTGCACCTAACAGAAACCAAGCTAGTCAAAATCTTTCCTCCTTATTAACGGTGACAAGGTGTACGTGACAGAGACAGTAGTCACATTAACAAGCAGGTGATGAAGGCGTGACGCTGGGCATCATTTTTGTACTGCAGACTTATGATTCTGCAGGGGAAAAAAGCCTTACAAAATTAACAGAAAACAGAATAAAAACATTGCTATAAAGAGGTGCATTCAGTGAACACAGAAAGGCTTCTTGTAATTAGAACCATATTAAGCAGATAGAAACTCAGTATTAATTTGGTTTATTTTACTGACTGCATAATCTAGTCAAGCTGAATTTCTATTTCAGCATACACAAAAAAAAATATAACTTCAAGTGATATTGTCTGTTGGAAATTGATAACGTTGTAAATCTATTTTAGACCTATTCTTTTCCTACCCAACAAACACGGTGGCAATACACAGTACCTTTCTCTTGTCCACGAGTCACTGAGGCAGTTGTGTTTGATTTTATGTTGAAGACGTTCAGTCTGAGCAGCACCAGGAGCTAAGTTGTTAAGTACGTTTGTACTGGGATTTTCCACACAGCAAGTCCTACTCCTATTGGCACATCCTCTTTTTTGTCAAGACGAAGGGATTCCTGAGCGACATTGGTGACATTATCTGTTAGACAAAAGAGATTTAATCCCAATTAGATTTGATCGATAGCTTTAACAGTAGTAAAACAATGAAAAATTATTTACAGAAAGCAACAAAAATGCAGAAGAAAAAGCATGCAAAAATAAAAATAAAATAAGTGTGGCATTTTTCTATTAACAATGCATATCTAGAGTCCAATTCATAATTGTCTTTGTCAGCTGATCTTCAATCAAAGTGACAAAGTTGTAACGCTACCTAACAGAGGGCACTGCAAACAGTTAACTGAGGTTGTATTTCTTTCCAAGACATATCACCTGTTTGTGCATTACAGGCTTACATTTGTGTATGAATTGCCACATGCACCCCGGCCATCGTGATGGATCTTTGTAAGTGTCAAAAATATATCAACATAAGGTTGTTATCACATCCTATTCAGCAAAGAACTAGAATGAATTTCAGAATCCTACATACTATTTTTCTTTCTATGTCTGTCCTGTACAGTGGAAGAAATGACACTGATTTCCTCTCCAAAATAATGAAAAAGAGATGCACAGATGCTTGATACTGTCTCCCTTAACATTTAAGGAAAATAGTCAACGTATTTTGACCATAGAAGCATGACAACACCTTTGCTTAAGCTCAGTAAAGAAAACAGAATAGAGTCTCCTAAGCATTAAGCCCTTTCACAGTAAGCTCTTTAAGCTAAGCATAAGTCTATGATTGACTAAACAGGATTCAGAGAAGGAAAACAAGTTTCTATAGTGTCTAATGCAGGCATCTAGCTCTCCAGAGAACAGGGCTGCCACAAGTGACATAGAACCCAGCAAAGTCCAGGGCCCTTGGCTGAGAGCTGCAAGGCAGGCAGGACGCCATGCCTGAACAGTACTGAAACATGACAGGCTTGTTGTCTTGTGCTTGGTTCAAGCCTTCACAAAAAGTTGCACTTCACGCAGAATATAACAGGCTTGCCTCCAATGGTAGCTGTCTCCAGAACATTAACTCCTAGAAAATTCCCTTTGCTTTGGAATATTTCCACTCAGCTCAAGTGGTTTATTACAGGCTTTGAGTCGATGCTGTTGTTAGTCGACTAAATACAAAATCCTCAGAGAATAACTGAGCAGCTTATTTGTTCAATAAGGACAATCATCTAGGCAGGGTCTAATGGAAAAAAAATCACCAAAAATTCCACGTGCATGTTTCCCTTCTCTTTCGTGAGAGTGCTTTTAAAAAGGGCGACAGAATGAGGGTCAGATCATGGCAGGAGATCAAAGTGCTGAAACAGCTTAGTCAGCATCTTTAAGTAGCACAGGAGGCTTCAAAAGCATAATTTACTTGGTTTCTAGAGCACCAAGCTTCCTCAGGGCAGAGGGGGCCCAAGAACCTGGATTTTTATGATGTCAGATACGACTGATTTGACCCTATCTTCATTATTCTTTAAGAGTTGTCCTGTTTCTAAATATTCCAATAGTCATTACACTTAGTATTTTGTTGTTTTCCTCTAGCCTTACAGCAGCTAATTTGAACATGCCTGATTTAAAGGGAAAGAGAAGTACTGACCTGTTAATGTTGTAAATACAGAAAACATCTAAGAGAGCAAGAAGTTACCAAAATACAGCAACCAGCCCAGCAAGAAAGCAAGAGAGATAGAAGTCAGTTCTTGCTAAACGGCCACTGTGTAAATCTCTAGACTCAAAAAACCCACAAATCTTCAAATTCAAAATTATCCTGGTCAGTTTTCTACATTTTAACATGTGTTCTAAATTCAGCAGATCATTCCACAATATTTACTCTTTTAAAGAAGTTCTTACATTCTAAAGACTATTAGTTTAACAGCAGTCGCGTTTAAATTCTCCAGGTAGGTTAGAAATAAAAAGTATCTTAATTCTTGACCAGGAGTTCTCCATGTATGGAGGGTGCAGTATTTACAGAAGCTTTTATAAGGATGAACATAGATGTAGGACATGTAATTTCGAGTTGCTTTATTAATAGCATATGTAATAAAAATAGTGTAGCAATGTCACGTACCCTCTTTAAAAGTAGACATTTCAGTGGCACAGCACATCAGCAAGATAAAAACAAGAATAATTGGAAATAAGTCTTGCAGAAAATATTGCAGACATGAAACATATGTAATTATGTCTCTCACTAGATACCATCAGAAAGTTTTTCATAATAAATTACCAGCAACCACTGGAAACCTACAACCCAATAATCCTTAAGTAATCTTCCCAGAGTTTCTCAAAAGATATTGTAATACAAAAATAAGTTAATTGGATACTTAATTTCCCATTTCCAGCAACTGCTAAGCTGAATCTACTTCTAATTGGGGTTGGTAGGGGAGAATGGTAAAAAGGAGAGGGATGCTGATTCTTTAGAATTAATTTTATTAATTAATCCAAAAACAAACAGCACGTAAATGATACTTATTCAGCTTCATTCTGAATTCCAAGTGTATCACCCATTCCAAAAAATCCTCAAAGAACTAAAGCTATTATAGAAATAATTTGATAGGTAAACTGATGTTTGATAAATGAGTAATTTCATTCAATGCAATAATTCACTCATATCCTGTAGTTAGGGCAGTACAGACTAAATAAACAGCGTTGATTGAATTACGTGCTTTGTTATATAATGGCTTTCCAGACAAAAGTTCAGTGTTACAAGAATGAAGGTTTTATTTCTGTTTATGTGGCAATGATTTGCAAATCTGTCAGCACTTCCCAAATAGTTAAGAAGTTACCTTCAGTACCTTCAGCCCTTTTCTAAATGAAAAATTGAAATATATGGAATCTTCAGTGAAAATTTGGCTTGTAACACATTATTATTTCATACCCAGTAGCATTCTCTCTTAAAATTGACACACATTCATCTGTCTTTCAGTCACAAGCAAGGGCTAACTCTATCCTTCAGAGCAGAAAGACAAGATGAACAACAATAACACCCTTCCTCTGTGTAAGAGGAAAGGTATTTCACCTGAATATTTCAGAAGCCCTCAGTAGACCCTTGTACAACTAATGCACGTTCAAAGTTTTTTTTTTTTTTGAAAAAAGTCTTTTGGAGTTTAAAAAGTAAAGCATGGTAAAAAGCAACAGGAACAAGCCTTATTTGGCAGTAAAGCAATTCCTTTGCCATGTGGGAATACAGTGCCAAGCATATCTGTGAGTTCCCTGCACTAGCTGCTGTAAGTTTTGCCTAGCAAATTCTTCGTAATAGGAATTTACATTAACTTTCAGTTGTTTTCTAAGAAGTTACTCTAATCAACTGACAGGGAAGGTGAGATCTTATAATTGAGTGTTCAAGTATTAAAAAAAAGCACACTTCTAAAAACATTTCATTTTACTATAGCACCTTGCTTCCTAGTGTAAAACTTCACATCCATAACATTAATTTGATTATCCACCCAGAAGGACAAATAATTGCCTAGGTACAAGTTATAGTCAAGATTGCATCTTCTCAGTACAGCCACCAATCCTAGATTTCTAAGAATGTGATGTTTACTTTTTTTTTTTTTTAAAGCCTGATTCCCTATTACACCCAGGCAAGCAAAGACTTTATATGCAAATAAATAAGAGCAGTACAGACACAGCCCTTCCTGAATGGGACTTAGTATTGTCAGCAGTCAGAACGTTATAGCAACAAGTGCTTGTGTGGAATACACACCGATTGCTCTCTTATTTATCTATTCAGTCTCCCCTTAGTACACCACATTACAACCAGAAAAATGTGAAGCCTTCAGTACTGACTGCACCAAAAACAAACAGAAAATAGTATTTAATATTATCATCACCACAATAAACACAGTCAGATGTGCAAACGCCATAACCACACTTTTTATAGGGGACAAACTTAGATTTTAAGAGGTTTGGACAGAATGATAATTTCTGCATTGTTTGTTATTGTTATATTTGAGATTACTGTGACAGTTCCCAGATGGAGGGACAAACAACAGCTCATAGGCAGCACATCATGCAACAGTGCTTTCATCTGAGATTTACGTCAGTCTTTCCAAATTGTAGGCATTGGTCACAGTCAATACCAGTTAATGAGGGGAAAGTCTAGTTTAACTAACTTAATTTCCTTTTATGACAAGGTTGCCCACTGAATTGACCACAGTATTCTACAAGACAGAATATCCCCTTTACAGCCAGACAAGTACAAAATATTATGGGTGAACAGCCAGCTGATGGGTCAGGCTCAAAGGGTTAGCATAAATGAGGTTACATCTAGCTGCTGCCCAGTCACTAATGAGGCTTGCCAGGGCTCTATTTGTAGAGTCAGTTCTTCCATATGTTTTCCTAAATGATCAGGACGCAGGACTCAAACGTATATTAATAAAGTTTGCAGACAACACAAAATTGAAAGAAACCATTGACTTCCTGAAGAGTAAACAGGTCTTGCAAAGAGATCTCAGCAAATTAGAGGGCTGGACAGTCACCAATTGCATTAAGCCTAAAGCATGGCTTGATTTTGGGGGTGTCCTGTGTGGAGCCAGCAGTTGTATTCAATGATCTTTGTGGATCCCTTCCAGCCCAGGATATTCTATGATTCTATGATCATGGGAGATTTTTCCAGGCATTCCCCTCTAATGGAATCTTGCTTCCAGATCAGTTTCAGGATGCTTTGTTCCACTTTCTGTGCCCTGAAATGACCCAGCAATTGAAGCTATTTTGTCTTGCTATTACACAACTGACTCAAAGGCATTGTCTAGAGCAACGAAGGTTTACAAGACTATTTTTGTTTCCCACTCCTACGCACAGCATTTAGTATGACTTTAGCAAAGTGAATGAGATTGCTGATGCAAGACTGCCAATTAGATTAGCCCTGGAAAAGGACTTATTAATGTACTGACTTTCTTCTTCACTATTTCAGCTCTTACAGAATTGCTGCTTTTAAGCCTGAACAAGTATTCTTCATTGGTACATAGGTCACTGATAAGGAAATTATGTCTGAAGTCCTTCCATGATGGAAAATGAAAGATTTTCCTTTCCAGAAACAACTCCTGTTTTTCCATATATGCTCCTCAG